TTCTTTGTTATCTATACAGAGCTGATAAGAATGACTGGAATTTCCTTATCAGCTATGAGCTTTCATTCACACCCCACCTCTACCTCTTCATCTACTGCTTCATTGTTGGAGAAGAGTTGTGGTTTTGCATTAAAATTTTTATTCTAAGCGATTTTTTTTAAATTTTTTCTTTTGAAATTTTTTCTGAGGAACTGGACGTATGAGTCCGGATTTTAGAGATTTCCGGATTTCAGAAGTCCGGATTTTCGAGGTCGTACTGTATCTATAAAACCTCCAATGTTTCAAGAGAGAACGTCAGTTGCCTTGTTCCTAGCGTAACTGAAATGTCTCAAGAAATATGTTTGACTTCCTGAACTGATTATTTCTACACAACAACATTTCACTATTCATAATTCTTGCTGTCAAAAAAAAAAGTATAGATAAAGAATCTCACCGAACCCAGCTTAGTAGACGCACGTGCAGACTCGTAAGTATTTCATCAAACCTGCAAAGTGATTGGCACTTTCATATGTTAACGGCCAACGGTACACCAAAATAGATTGTGGCTGAATGAATTGTGAAAACGTTGAATAGAACAATGTGAAAAGCACGCTTTTACAAAATAGACGACAAAAATCGACATTCTCTATCGAAAAGGGAAAATAAGGCACTTTTTAAAAACACTCAATGAGAAAAGCACCTTTAAGGGCTTTTAAAAAACAAAAATCGAAGATAAGCAGTTTTTCAAAAAGCTACGCACCACGTCCCTAAGGTCTTGTAAAACCCTCTTGATTAGTACTATACACATTGTACCACAGTGCCACCCCTGTAGTCTGAATTCAGGTTGTGCAACTCAATCTCTCAAAATCACTTAGATTTAAAAATATTCATTGTTAAAACAATAGTTATGTACCTCATTTTGGTGTGGACAGTGAGAGAATCTAGTACACTCATAGACAATGGTTTTATAGGACCCTGTACAGCTGCCCCTGCACTACTCAATTGCTGCTTTTGAGTTCCCTGCACTGCTTCCACCAGAACTCCCATAGGTCTTGTAAAACACTCTTGATTAGTACTATACGCATTGCACAACAGTGCCACCCTGTAGTCTGAATTCAGGCTGTGCAACAGTCCCTCGTCGTTCAAACTCAACTGGAGGTACCTGAAATCATAAAAAAGACAATTTGTATAGGTAATATTCATAGTAAAAGTTTTCTAATAATTCTGAGCAAGTTCACTAAAAGGCCTCAGTAAGAGTCAAAAGCATAAAAAGCAATGGTCTCTTAAATATATATATAATTTTTTAAATTGCTTAAAAGACAGTTAAAAATTCGTTAAAAAAATTGCATACTTGACCCAAGCGCGTTGACGGTTAAAATACAAAAGAAAAAAATTCCACCAGATAAAATGGAAACAAAAAAAAATTATAAAAAATCAAGAATTTTTTAAAAAATAAAAATTTTTTAAAAAAAACTGAAAAATGTTTTGATGCAAGAATGTGAACAATTTAATCATTGACTCAAGTAATGATTTTATGCACTTGGTTTATTTCTTTAAAAAAAATACCAAATTTAAATCATCAACAAAAAGAGTAAGGTAACTTAACTTGTTTTCAAAAGTATTTTGGGAACTAAGAACAAAAAAATCTTTATTTAGGACTAAAATGATTTAAAAATGTTTTGAACAAACATTGTCACAAAATCTGATATTTATTTTCATATATATATATGGATTAATAAAAAACAATGAAGCAAAGAATTGTTCATTGTCAACAGACACCAAAAAATTAAGAAATAAGCATAAAAACAATGGGGTTTTAAATATTTTTCTTTAAAAAACAATATATTTTCTGCGTATAAATTGTTTGTTAAAAAAGATTACATACTTGACCCCAGCACATTGATAGTTAAAATACAAGAGTTTTTTTTTCTCCAGCAGATAAAATGGAAACAAAAAAAAAGTATAATAAATCAAGAATTTAAAAAAAAATGTTTTGATGATAGATTATGAACAATTTAATCATCATTGACTCAATTCATCATTTTACTCACTTGATTCATTTCTTAAAAAAATATTAAATTTAAATCAACAAAAAAAAAGAAAGATAACTTATCTTACTTTCAAAATTATTTTGAGAAGGAAGAACCAAAAATTCTTTATATAGTACTGAAATGATTTAAAAATGCTTTAAACAAACATTGTCATGTAATCTGCTATTTATTTTCATATCTGATATTTCTGATAATCTGTCATTTATTGACATACATATACTGATTAATAAAAAACAAAGAACTGTTCATCGTCGGCAGACATCAGAAAATTAAGATACAAATTTTGAACGATAGATTACAATTGAAAACAATATTTTATCGCAATTACGACTGACCATATCATATCTATGAATAAAAATAACTATAAATTGGGTACTTGCCAGCTGGTGACATATGGTACGCAAGTAACAAAAGCATCAAAATCGTAAATGCATAATGAAAAATTTGCTACTTCAAATTTACAGTTGTCTATAATGTCCTTTTTATAGACCATTAAATGAAAAATGAGGTGGTCTTTTTGGGCCACAAAAATTTTCCTTGCAACCTTTAAAAAAAAAATAATAATAATTACTCTAAGTGTGAAGTGAGAGCGACAGGTAATCTTCTCTGCAGACTGACTTGTTCCAATTGAGCTTTCTTCATCAAATGAATCCAGATGGAGGTGACTGCCAAGGCGTGAGTGGAACTCGCTTTTGAGACGTCGGGGAAGGGCAAAGGCTCCTTCTCCGGGTACAGGAGATCGTAGAGTTTCATGACGGGGAGAAAATCATTCAGGTGGTTCTTTTGTATGCTGCCAGAGATGAACTGTAGCAGGACCCACATCAAGTGGTCTCTTCCTTTGCGGAAATTTCGACCCACCAACTGAAACAAATATTTCAATTATTAGGTAAAATTGCTTCTTTTACTTTTAAGGTCGCAAATGGTTCTGAAGTTGTTCACAGACAAACGCTTCATTCCATTGTTATAAATTTTGCCGTCACCATACAGTTAGATAATTGCGATTTATCTTCATTTACTGTCACTTGAAATATATTTATATCTGACACACACAATTACCATATACTCTCGATATCTCAAACTTTCATGCTTCGAAAACCTTGTTACGTTGAAAAAATATTTTTCCCTTGGAATTACATATCCACATAATGTTCATGTGAATCTCTATGTTGAAGGATTTTTTCTCAAAACTATATTATGTTGAACATTTTAGGAAATAGAAAATGAATTTTTTTCAGAAAAATCACAATGTAAGTTTATTGTAAACCGATTATTTTCTATTTAATGCATAATTAAATTTTGTCTTACTTAAAATTTTGTATATTTGCAGAAAATTAAATACTTTTAATTACTAGAATTCATTCAAAAAATACTTTTTCATTAAAAAAAAAACACTTTTTGTACAAATGTTTTCCTTTTTATCAATAATTGATGTAGCAAATATATATATAGTATATATTGTGAAAAGTGATTACTCATATTCAAAATTTATGCATTGTGATATCATATTAAAAATTGGGTTTTCAAAAATCGTGCAGAATTTCATAGCAATAACCGTTGAAAAGGTGATCGAGAAACAAAATAGACTTACAATGGAATCTATACAAATTGAGCCAGTTAAAGAATGATAACTCAAATTTGCAATTCAGAATTTTTTATTTTTTAAGAAAAAAAGATACTTTTGTGTTCAGAAGCTTTTCAATCCAATTTGTACGAAAAAAAAAGCATTGCCAGGAGTACAGAAAAGTCTTCCAATAGTCTTCTTTACCTGAAAATAGTTGCTTTTTTTGAGCATTTTCAGGCAAAAAAAGTTGCCATACTCCCCTCATGCTAAAAATAGTTGCAAATAGTCGCATTTTAGTCACCTGCGGTAACCCTGCTTTATCGAATAACCTTAATTACTGATAATAAAACCAGCTTAGAGTGATGTATGGTGCGTAAAGTAGAAAAGTGAATATAACGAATAAATTCTGATTTTAATGATCAGATTTTCCCGTACAAGTGCACAACTTTAAAGGTTAATAATCCTAACTTTAAATTTGTTAATTAATTAGTGCAGACAATATTTTAAGTAACAAAATCAGACAAAATTATGTATTTTCTTTGAATATGAAGAAGAGCTGTGATCTGAAAGATATTGTCCCATGAGTTTAGGCAGGAGAGTGTTCAAAAGTTTAAACTTTCAATATTAATTTTACTTTTTGAGCATTTTGGAATATTCCACGAACTTTTTAAACAAACTGAAAACTTTTCAGTAAATGATTATAAAATTCATTTTTCCAAAGATAATTCTTAGACAAAAAAAAACTATTTATCATCATTTTATTTTATAATAATTGAAATATTTTGAATTATATATTGTAATATATTGTAATAGTCATATACAAATATTAACTTATAATATAATTTCAAAGTAAGCAATTTTAGATAGCAAATTAAAAATATTTTTAAAAATAAATTTTAAATATATGACTATTTTAAATATACAGAAAAAAATATATATGAAATATATACATATGAAAAATATGTATAAAATACAGATATATAGTTATATACATAGCACAATAAAGACAAAAAGGATAAAAAGAAAAAATAGTGAAACAAAGAAAATTAAGGAAATTCATAAGTTTTAATTACTGCATATAAGCTGCAAGTATATAGAACTCATTTAAATAAGGTAAATCCAAAAATCGATGTTTGATATTAAAATCGCGTGAATATGAATCACGATATTAGCAGATTCCGGCAGTTTCAAATATTAAAAATGGCAAAAAACAATTTAATTGGCGGGAGAAGAATTACATGCATGTAAACGTCTCAACCCGATTCGTTGAAATTTTCAAAAATTACATTTTAGATTCCGGAACTCTTTAATTCTTACTTTAAGTCTTCACTCTTACTTTAAATTTTAGATTGCAGTAACAATTTAGTCAGATTATAAAGTTTTGATTTGCGGAAAGATTCAAATCAATGGTGCTGAGAAACGCAAAATTTGCGGATAAATCACATTCGCTGCTTCAAGTATTTAGACCTGTAAGAAAGATACGAAAAATCCTGAAATTTCAGGGTTTTACTGGAATATTGTTCCTGAGAACTGAAAAATTAATAATGTCACTGAAATAAACATTAAAAGAAGAAGAAATATTATGTTGTCTCTTAAATACAAAATTCTATTTAAAATATTATTGAAAAAAATATTTTCAAACACATACTTTTCCATGTAGTATCATAATAATGTCAGGAAAGCTGGCGTACTGAAACAAGACAAAATAAATGAGTTGGCTAGACAGGTGCTGCCATAATAACTGAGTTGGGCCACCATCTTCCATTGCTTCCACATCATTTTCAGATTTCTCCATGGCCGACACAATCAATTCCACCAATTGTTCTTCCAACACAGGGCATCGCTGCTTTTGCTAGATTTGCACACATGAAACAAGAATTAACAGTCTTATCTTTAAAAATACATTTTAAAGTTTTTCGAATTTTTATTAAAAAATAAAAAAAAAACTTAACAATTGTTAAGAACACATACTAGAAATCAGAGTTGGTATTTCTTTGGGTAGAAACCTATTTGGGAAAACCTAAACCTTCAGTCGGAAAAAAGTAAAAATGACCAAAAAATTTTTCAGTAAAAAGTATTATAAGGATACAGAAGAAACCATTGGGACTTTGATCAATCTGGGGATTATATTTTCGCGGTTAAAAGGTCTTTAAAGTAAACAAAGAAAAAAACATACATTATTTAGCAAAATAACAATAAATAAATGGAAATTAGCATTAATATTTGGACAATAATGTTTTGTTTTTGTTCAAATTACATTTAATTAACAAAAGAGCAATTAATATGAAAAAATAAATGTCATTATTAATACTGAAAGAAAAATGGCAATGTCACTCAAATCTGGAGAAAAAAACACAAATAAAGAGGAAACACAATTACTGTGCTCTTGTGAGAACTATATTGGGCTAACTATATTTATTAGTTTAAATTGCTGGAAACACAGCTGAGCATATTTAAATAATGCTATAGTAAATGAAATAGTATCATCCTTAAATATCCCATAGATCACACTTTGAGTGGTCACCATTTTTTAAAAGACAAAAATAAGAAACTAAGTTCCTTGCATTTTTCCAGTTCGTAAAGAAAAACTCAAATTTCTCTGATATTTTAGATGATTTTTCAATTCCCTGTATTTTCCATGTTTTCCCTGAATTTAAAAAAGCATTATAATATAATTAATTGAAATGACAGGTATAACCAAAACTGGTCTTAATATAAAACTAATTAGTTATGTGATAGAAATTACAATACTTGTTACACAAAATTACAATATAAAATTACACAAAAATACAAGATTTGGTTAGAAAAAATTCATATTGAAGTAATTTTTAGGAGCGAGAGGAATCAATATTTTTCTTGCTGGTGGAAAAAAGCGTTAACCAGTATGAAATATATCTACGTGTCGTGATATATCTACGCCTATAATATGTATTTTAATGAACCCTGAAGAGCATATAAACCCACCCAGATAAATTTAATGCATCAAGTGTAATGTACAAGCATAATGGACATAATTTGTTTTTACAAACAATTTATATATTATATAAATTGTACTTATATTAAACTTAGCAAAATGTTTTTTTTTTAATCATATGCTTTATTTTGTCACATATGTAGTTCATTTAAGATAAATTTTGTTTGAAAAAATAAACCAATTTACTGAAATATGATTTACTTCATATAATTTTGTATAAAAAGTTTCAAAGTAAATTTAAAAAACAGTGTTGATTCTTTCAAAGAACAATAGGGTTTAATATTTGCAAAGAAAACTGATTGGAAATGATAAATTGTGAAAAAAAAATAACACTTGCATACCAGCCAGTATTGGAGAAATAAAATAACAGAGATTTTACTATACAAGTTAAGTTATGATACTTTATGCATAATCATGCAAGTCAAAAAGAAAATTTACAATAAGAAATAATATAAGCATCTACATTCAGCGAAGTAAAAAATATGTATATAAATCTTATCTAAATTAATAGTAATAGTAAAAATATGTAAAAAAATAATAGTAAAAAATATGTATATGTATCTTAATCTAAAGAAGATTTTTTAAACCATTATTTATAATTACTTAGATTATTTTATAACCATCCTTAAACAGAGCTGACCCAATTTTGGGTTTAAGACTACTAATGTTCAACTCTGTAGCCCAGTAATTTTGTACCAATCCAGAAGACAAGGGAACTCCTGGATCAGTACCCCCAGAGGTTTGACTTGTTATGGGAACGTGGAGGACTTTGCAACTCCACAGATTTAACTGCATCAGTCACCATTTACTACACGGGGAGTCTTCGTATGCAATATTTTATTTTATTTTACAGCTGTCGTTGAACAGCAGACCCAATTTTTAGGTTTATGACTACTGATGTTCAACTCCTTAGCATCGTAATTTTGAACCCAATCCAGAAGACAAGGGAACTCCTGGATCAGTACCCCCAGAGGTATGACTTGTTATGGGAACGTGGAGGACTTTGCGACTCCACAGATTTAACTGCACCAGTCACCATTTACTACACGGGGAGTCTTCGTATACAATATTTTATTTTATTTTACAGCTGTCGTTGAACAGCAGACCCAATTTTTGGGTTTATGACTACTGATCTTCAAATCCCTAACTTTGTAATTTTGAACCCAATCCAGAAGACAAAGGAACTCCTGAATCAAGTATTGGGAGAAATATGCCTTTGTGGAGGACTTTTTAATGGAAATAATCCGCATTTGCGTTACATGGAGAGGAAAACCACAAAGATCTCCCACGATTAGCCGAAAGGCAATTTAGCCCATGATCCGTCTACCACTGAGGATATTTCACGTCAACACTGTGGTCAGTGCTGACATGAGGAATTTGAATCGACCAGCTGGAATTCGAGCCCAGTTCATCCCATCGGACTTATTACTACAGTACTGTTGCGGAATACCATCTGTAGAGGAATAAAAGAAGTGCTTTTGCAATCAGTGGATATTTTATAACCCAAACTTTTATTCTTAAAATTTCCTCAACAAATACGGAGAAATTTGAGATTATACAGATAAACAGGAGATAGTCGTAAAATACAGGAGTTTTCGTTAATAAAATAGGAGGCTTGGCAGGTATGCACTGGGTGGGTAATAAGGATAGGTTTTTCCAATCTGAAAAAACCTTATTTCTGAGTGACTTTCAAACTAATTAAATGCATTACAGATACTAACTTGCTTACTGACTCCCAACATACAGCAAACCATTTCTCTCGAATAAGGTTGCTCCAAAACATATCTAAAGAGGGAAGTTTGTGGCTCCTGCAACTCCTAAAAAAAAAAATTCAGCCATTAACTTGTGAACAAATCTAAATATACTACAGAGCTATTTGAGATAATAAAAAAGAGAAATAAAAAATCAGGTGTAAAGCAGTTAAAAACTACAACTCCAAATGAAAGTTGCGCAATGCAGCTGAAATTCCATAAGAAAATTCTAAAGAGGGAAACAATAAAAATTTATAAATGACAACCGAAGCTGACGTCGTCAAGGGGTACCAGCTCCTGCAAGTCATAAAAATACAAAACTTTTTCTATCGAAAGAGCACGAAAAATGTCTAAATATTGCTCTCTCTGTACCCCTTAGGTTTTGTAAAAAGTTCAGGAAGAGAGAAAAGAAGTAACAAAAGTAAATTACATAAACTAATTAACAAAGAAAAACAATGTTGAAAAAGCTTACTTAAAAATTTTCCTATTCCAAACAAACCAAAGTACACAACTTTCTGAAAATATTTAACCAAACTGAAATTTGAACAAGCTACGCCTACAGTTAATGCACAGAAAGAAGAGAAAAGAAAAAGAAGGAAAGCAAGAAAGCAGTTGCTATCTGTTAAAAGAAAAACTTAACTGGGGCAACTCAGTAAGTCTCGATCCAGCCCTACTAAAAGAAAACAAAAACTAATACTTTTTAATCGTTTCTTTAATTTTACCTTCAATATTGCAAAAATTAACAATATTTAGTACTGTTAAAGGAAAACCTTTATTATCTAAATTATTTTCACAAAATTACTAGTAGCCTCTTGAAAGCATTCAACATTATTGCAAATTTTAATAATTTTAAACAGTTGAGAAAAAACTAAATTTTTGAAAATATTACTACACAAATTTGCATCAAAATGACAGAAAAAATTGACTTCCAGAGTTGGTACCCTCTGACAATGTCAGCTTTTTATATTTTTCAGTATTTTCTTCTTTAGAGTTATTTGAAAATTACTTTATTGTAAGGAAGTTGTCCCCTTAAGTTAGCTTTAGCGGTCTGGGGATCCAACTTCCAAACGTTTCCAAGAGTGGCAGAATGTCCGACGATGGGAAGAAGTTTAGATTTTCCATACACTGTGTCATCACCTTTGATTTCCATAAAAACTGCAATTAAAAGAATCAGTAATTATAAATCTTGATTCCTAATAAACTTAACAGATTGTGAAAAATAAATGACATGTTTGACAGCTACAATATAATGAAGTTTATCACCAAGAAAATAAATACTCTTACCAGAAACTGAAACCATTTGAGCAACTGGTCTAAAACTATCAATGAATGAGGATATGAGCTTAGAAAATTTCTGTAAAAAAAAAGAAAATATCTAAACTTGTTTTGTATTATTATAATGCTATCAGGAACAATAAACAAAATAAAAATGACAATTTCATAGATATTTGGAAGTTTATTAAAGTACATATACACAAATGGAACATTTCGTATGATAGAATATGAGAAAAAAAAATCTTAAATATTAAGATGATAATATATTTATTTAAAAAACAAAATAAATTTAGATTGTTCTTTACTTATTTATTTGTAACATTTTTATTATTCTTTATGATTTTCTTCAAAGTATTTCAAGTAAATACATAGTTCCGATGATAATAATTTTCTTAAGAAAAAAAGTGCAAACTTAAAAAACCCTGTATATGTCAATAACTTTATGGAATATATCTAATTACATCAGATTTTGAGGATTAACCACACACAGATTTATATTTGGCCTCAACCAAAGTAGCATACAGTTCTGTAAAATGCAGATCATTTTGTCCTTTAGAACGAATGAATAATAAAAAATGAATAAAGAAATGAATAAAATTTAATGAATAATTTAGAATGCATAAAAAAAATTGTGAAAACATTTCTTTCCGTCATAACTGTTAACATAGGACAGCCAATTGCACATTTCTAGAAAATGGGGTTTTAGAGGAATGCAATGCTGCAAAAAAAAAGTTGTTTTTTATCTGAGCTCTGACACCATTCTTGATGATTCTTATCTAAAATGATAGCATCTTGGCGAACAAAAAACAAGGGGCGCGCTCAAATGATCAGAAAGTCGGGTCCACAATCGTGGTTGCCGGGAGAAAAGTGTTGCACCAAGCAGACTCCTCAATTCTGCTTTTAACATGTAAAGTCTATGGCGGGCTTGTCATACTTTGAATCGATTTTTCTTGTTCAAGAATCGGAGTGATCAATTAAAAAAAAATACTAATAATTTTTTCAATCTTTCCTATCCACGAAAATGTAGGTTAATNTAAAAATGACAATTTATAGATAGTTGGAAGTATATTAAAGTACATATACATAAATGGAACATTTGGTATGATAGAATATGAGAAAAAAAAAGCTAAAATCTTAAATATTAAGATGATAATATATTTATTTAAAAAACAAAATAAATGTAGATTGCTCTTTACTTATTTATTTGTAACATTTTTATTATTCTTTATGATTTTTTTCAAAGTATTTTAAGTAAACACGTAGTTCCAATGATAATAATTTTAAGAAAAAAAGTACAAACTTAAAAAACCCTGTATATGTCTTTATGGAATATATCTAATTACATCAGATTTTGAGAATTGACCACACACAGATTTATATTTGACCTCAACCAAAGTAGCATACAGCTCTGTAAAAGGCAGATCATTTTGTTCTTTAGAACGAATGAATAATAAAAAATGAATAAAATTTTATGAATAATTTAGAATGAATAAAAAAAATTGTGAAAACATTTCTTTCCGTCATTACTGTTAACATAGGACAGCCAATTGCACATTTCTAGAAAATGATCTTTTAGAGGAATGCAATGCTGCAAAAAAAAAAAAATTGTTTTTATCTGAGCTCTGACACCATTCTTGATGATTCTTATCTAAAATGATAGCATAAACGTGAATATAATCCCCACTTTTTCCAATCACACACACAAAAAAAATAATTTTTAATGATTTTTTTTTTCGTTGCAAATTAAGGTACATTCCTTCTTTGGAAGAAGTTTAATCATGTAAGTAATACTTAATTTATTTTTCAAATCAAAGGCCATAAAATTATTGAAGAGAAATAAACACAGGGGGCCACTGCATTTTCTGGTGATAGCACTGCATCGTTGCACAGTGATAAAAAAGAAGAAAAAAAATTTAAAGTTATAATAAGCGCCTGTTTGGCGGAAGAGCTGCTACACCACGCATATCATCATCCTTATAAAAGAGACTTTTAAATTACCATTTAGAATATCTGTATAATAAAATTTTTTTATTCATTTCATAAAGTAAATTTTTAATTTCTAAATTATAAAAAAATAAAAAATAAATCCATTAAAAGGTTTGCTTACTTACAGCCGTAGACCTACTGTTTAGGCAAGGCTGAATTAAATCATGGTTGATACCCATGTTAATTTGGAATAAGCGTGCATAATAAATAATACCTTTAAATGGTTTGAAAATAATGTTAAGTATTACAATTAAATACATCAAATAATGTAATTTTATTTCTAAATTATATGGGGAGGGAGAGAGAGAGAGAGAGAGAGAGAATGGTCTGAAATGCATTGAAAAAAGTTTTCTTTTTCAGCAAAAAAAAAGCAACAAAACGATATAAAACAAAGTTATTCTTACGAGTTGGCACCGCACTAAAATATAAAGTTAATGACAACAAATAATTCCGAAAATAATGTTAAGTACAACAAAATATCAAAATATTTTTAAATACATCAAATAACATAATTTCTAAGTAAATTTTTTTTTGGGGGGGGGGAGAGAATAGCCTAAAATGCGCTAAGAAATAGTTCAGGTGAAGAAAGCTTTCTCTTTCAGCAGAAAAAAAAGCAACAAAACGATATAAAAAAAAAGCAACAAAACGATATAAAAAAAAGTTGTTCTTACCAGTTGCCACCGCACAAAAAAATAAAGCTGTCATGTTTTACTTCAGAAGAGCAATTAACAGCAAAAATATATTTATATGCTCAGCGGCGCATTAAAAACTTTGCGTTGGGAGAGTGGGAGTTTGAGAGAAAAAGGTTTCAGAATCTCAAATCTTAGGAAAGTAAATTATTCTTCTATTATTAAAAAAAAAAATAATTCAACCATATTTAGCGTAAGAATTAACGCTGCAACTGATTACATAAATCTGTAAAACAATGTAATAAAAAATATATAATGAAACATTTTAAGCTAAAAATTTATTGAAAAAAAAAAGATTTAAAAATAAAAAGATTTAATAATTTATTAAAGTTAACAATTTGAGGAAAAACTAATAATAACGAAGTAACTAATAATAACTAATAACAAAATAACTAGCAATAACAGGAATAAGAAATAATTAAGCGTGCACCAAAAAAATTCGCAAGAAGGAATTAGCAAAGCGAAAATGAGTTTCACTTTCATAATCTTTGGGGGTGGAATATTAGTGGGTAGAATGCCCTCCCATTCAATGGAAATAACACAATGTGAATCAACTTAAAAAGAGAGAAGAAAATGTTTAAAAGAGAGAGGGAGGTAACCCACCTCTTCCACTTATCATTTCTACAGGAGCTGTTTAGGGGGAATCAATCAGTTATTTTTAAAAGGGGATACTTCCTCATCTGTTCACTCCAATTACAATTGCCAAGGAGCTAAGCAGATTTCTAACTTGGAATCTTTCTTTAAGCTGGGAGTGGATACAAGATGAATACCTTTTAAATTGGTCTCCTTATGTGATGTTTTTAAAATTATTATTATTTCGCTTATTTATTTTCTCGCAGGACGTGGCTGAAAGTTGGCTAAGAATTGACGACTGCTCTGCAGCAGATCGCGATACAGGCCAAAATTTCGTTATTAATTTTTTTAATAGTATTTCTCTCGGAAAATTAATTCACCTAAAATCATTTTCCATGATAAATTTTTTTGTTCCTAAAAATTATTTTGTCGGAAGCGCTGCATGTAGGAAAAAAAGAACTTTTCTCGATAGTGCCACGGCGATTTCGTTGAAAAATACGATAAGGGATGGGCCAAAACATGTCACACGTAGATTCAGGAGGTCCTTGTATCATCAGGTAGACCAGTGTTTCCCAAACTTATGACTTCTGCGTACACTTTCTGAATTTTTCGTAACGCTGTGTACCACTAATAAAAAAAAAATTATTTTTTACTATAAAAAAATTGCACAAAAGTTAAAAATCACAACTGGCTGTAAACACCACTAATTATTAACTCTTAACTCTGCAAAAAATAGCCAATAGAAAAATTGGTAATCGGAATTTTCATGACTAGCTTTAATTTTAAATAAAATTTTTTTGAAATTTTCGTTTTTTGCAAGATATTTTGCATAGTACCCCCACTGCATAGTTGCCACATACCCCCACTAAACTGTTTCCGTACCCCTGGGGGTACGTATAACACACTTTGTGAAACACTGAGGTAGACCTACAATGAAGAACAATTAAACTAGAGAAAAATTATAAAAAATTTTACCCAGTGAGGATATGTTCCTTTAGGGAGTACTTTTTTCTGAAGTTCATCTAATATCAGATAGCTGGGTAGCAAACATGCATTTCTATCAAAAATGGTTTCAAGGACCTGAAATAACAACAAATTGGAATTAACATTCTTCTTAAAAGAAAAATGACAAAATGAATGTCCTACTTTATCAGTGCACTACAAAATGTAATAAATGTATTCATTAAATATACATATACACACACAGAAGCAATATAAGCAAATTTTTAATGTACTCCTCATTAATGTTCAATAGGTGCTCTTCTTGTATACATCAAGTTTGAAATGTAATTCTCAGGCCATTCTCTACAAATAAGCTGTTTTCAGGTAGAGAAAACAACAACAAAAATTGTATAAGAAATTTTGAATTTTTTTTTTAATAAGATGTGGGTGGAAGGTACTATACAAGAAAAACGTAGCAATCACGCTTAATATTTATAAAAAAATACTAAAATTATTCAAAGTTTTTATTAAAGTGAGGAAATGATAAATATGGTGTGGGAGGAAGTAATTTTAGTTATAAATATGTTTAAAATACTAATTTCATTGAATATATTTAAATATTGTGTGCAAGGACCCATATGCAGACATTGGTTTACCGAAAGGGTTCGGACACTTTTTAACAATCAATATTAAAAATAAAAAAAACTCTTTTCCTTCTGATTCAAGGAAAGAAAGAAAATGCTAAATGAAAAAAAAAAGGGGGGAAAGGATTAAGGGATGAGAATCCTTCGCTTTTTTATGATTTTTACCTGATTTTTGATTTCTGCCAAAATGATAAAAAAAAATAATTAAGTACTAAGTTGAGTACAAGCACCCATATCCAGACATTTGTTTACCAAATCGATCTGGACACTTTTTAACAATCAATCTATAAAAAAATTGTTTTGAACCATGGCACTCATTATCACTTATCCTGCATTTCAAAGGATTCATTACTTACACTTTGAACAGCACGCAGTTGATTCATAACAGCAACATTGTTGGCAGGCTTTATTGTGTGAGCTTTATCCAGCATTGTTTTCAATAGGTCACGAACACCCTACAAATACAGATGATAATCAAAATAATAAGTAAATTTGAATGAAAATAAAACATTCAATTTAATAATTGAGTTCTAAGTTTTTATTTATTTATTTATTTGGAAAAAGAAAATTTTATTATTTTTACTTTAGTTCATCTTTCTGCAGTTAAAGCTCATAAACCACATATGTATTATTTGTTTCCATAAGCATGTGATACACTTTTGAAAAATTTTAATTGCGCATGTTTAAGCAGGTCATGGTTTTAAATAAAGTATAAAAAAAATATATATTGCTCATGAACCTTTCTTTTTTTATTAAACTTATTGAAAAATTTAACTCATTATTGAAAAGAAAACAGCATAATTTCTATTATTTCATTTTTATTATTTCAAAAGTACAGAGTACTCACTTGATTAATGCAGTTTTTCGAAGTTTTGCCACCAAGGAAAATAAAAAAGCCATAGTTTTAAGTACCTTACACTTGAAGCAATGTGATGATTTTAAACTATATATATAATCTTGCTGAGAAGAATTATCTGGGCTTTACAACAGAAAAATAATTTAAATATTTAAAAAATTATCAAACTTTTTTAAAGATCATTAATTTGGCGACATTCTTTCACCTAGAGGAAAATTATCAAAATCACTGCCTTACTCTCCGTTTTTGTAAATTGTTATAAGCCCAGGTAATGCAGATGACTTGGAGTAAGTTTTTAAACATAAAAAAATTAGACCACAAAGGCTTTTCATTTTCACAAAACTGTGGCTTTTCTGCACATTGATGTTTCTTGCCATTTTCAGAATAAGCGTAGACATTGCTTGGCTTTCGATAGGCTACACTTGAAGTAACACTAGCAAACTCACAGCAGTTATAAAAATAGCATATTATTCGCAAAAAAGCATAATTTCATATTACGATGGAGCATTCGAGAAAAAGCCTAAAATAGGTTGAGGTTGACAGATAAAAATAAGTAATTTTGAAAAGGACTTTTTTTCAAACTTCCCCTAATTTTATGAGTTTTTTAAAAAATACACAAAAATTCCATCAAGCGGAGAAAAAAAATTTGAGAAAATTAAACAGATTAGGCAACCACGTGTACACTAAAGACATGAATTGGACTTTTCAACAATTCAATTACAGAGTTCTCCCTCGGAATAAAGAAAAGGCAAGGCGCTTCCATTCTGAAAAGGGCATTCACTTAACAATAAAAATTTATCGAAATGTGTAATATTATGTAATAACCAGGGGTGATTGTGAGCCCAAGTCAAAATTCCGGAAAATTTCCCGAGTTTAAAAAATAATAATTTTCAATTGAAAAAATTTTTAACTAGGTTTTTCTAGGAGAAGTAATTAAAATTTATAAATATGTCTTACTTTCTTGAGTTTATGATTATAACTATTTACTGATAAAAAATGTATCTGGCTCTCCCTTACAAACAAAATAAATTGTGTTTTTAAGTTCCACTTTTGAAAATTTGATTTCCGGAAACTTCTGTGATCAATGATTTTTTTAAACGTCTGGACCTTCGATCTCCGGAAACTTCTGGATCACTGTTAGCGAAAAATCCGGAAATCCAGATTTTTTTCGGAACACAATCAGCCCTGAATAACTGAATTTCACCCTCAACAATTTTTAAATTACCATTTTATGTATTTACTAGCTGAATACCCGTTCTTCGCACGGGGTGAATAAAAAAAAGAAACAATAAATCAGTGCTGAGAAACTCAACAAAATCACGATCAAAACTCAAAGACATATACCAACACATTTGAAGAGCTCAGTGGAAGAACCAGGTAAGTGATATTTTTAGGGGAATTAATGAATGAGAGAAAATAACATAAAGTGGTTATACCAATACAGGTATGTTTAATGTAACAGAATTGTTCTTGACTTCACTTTAATCTTCACAAACTAATCTACATTAAATTTTACTATGCTTGCATGATTTTTATTTCAAATTGAGCAGTAGTAAATAATAAGGCAAAGAATTATTAGTCCCGATTTCCAATAAATTCTTAATAAAATAGTTCGGATGCCAATTTTTTCGCATTATAATTACAGTCGTTTTGAAAATGTCACCTACCACCTTCTTCCACTAAGTTCTTCAATTAATAAAGCTAAAATCATTTAAATTTTTATTTATGTATTATTATTTGTCGCTCTTTCTGATGACTTTGCGTTATTAAACTGAGAAAAACTTGTTTTTCGCAGTTCATCCCAACAGAATAAAGATTAATCAGGGGTCTGTCCAGAGCGAATTTACTACCGTTTAGCGGTACCTTCACAAATCCAACTTTAGGAAAGACGGTACTTTCACAAATTCACCTTTAGGAAAAACGGTACTTTCACAAATTCAACTTCAGGTAAAACGATAGTTTCACAAAATACTTTTTCTTAAAATTTTATTTTTGTATCCCTTAAGAAACGATAAATCCATATTTTTACCGTATTTTTGAGTTGATTTTTTATTATAATTTTTCACAAATTTTGTCTAAATTTTCACAAAATAGGCACTCCTCAGAAAAACCTAGACCGACCCCTGTTAACTGTATTTAACATCACTTGACATGATGCTATTGTTCGCAGCCAACTCATCATAGTCAAAATTTACCACTCTCAATTTTTTCTGGCATATATGCCTTTCCAGGAGTAAAATTATCAATATAATACTTTATACCTATATTAGTATACATACAGCTAAACCCTTTGAGTTTTATGTGAAATACATTTATTAGTGGCAGCAAACTAAATCCGATTTTTCTTTCAAAAAAATTCAAGAATTCTAATTTTTTAAAACTATTTAACAGTAAGAAAAAAAGTGATATGTAAGTTAACTAAAATGCTTAAAGAGTGGGATTAAGAAGGCTGGTTTTTTTCCCAACAGGGAAAGAGCTGAAAAAGTAAACACATAAAAAAAAATTTAACATTTCATTTAAATGTCATTTCCTTGATTCTTTTTTTTTAAAAAAAGAAGTTTAAAAAAAATTATTTAGATTTAAGTTTGAAAATGCTATATATATATACACACATCGGATATGTTATAACTATTAGCACAATTGATAGCAAAATTAGTGAAATATTTTATAACTTACTTTATAATCAATACCAGATATTATTTTATCAATCAGCATAAAACTTAAGCACCAGAAATCTTCATTCAGGTAAACAAGGTAATCACATTTCAAAATCAATTCACAGACAAGCCTTTAAAGATATGAAAACACAAAAGAATTTTTTTAAAAAACAGAATTTGGTGCATCTAAGATCAGACACAATTTAATTGATCGAGCAAAGATGGTCAACCATTTTTAAATAGTTTGGCAGTTATTTTTGGGTGTCTAGTGTGCCATTTGTTGATTTTTTTTTAAAAGCAATCTTCAAACTAAAATACTTTGATTTGAAATATATACAATTGTATTGTGTAACCACGTTTGCTGTTTAGTTANATATCTGTGATTGTGAGGTCTATTCTGCTCAAAGATTTGAGCATTTAGGGCAGCATATTGTCAATGCCTGGAAACTGCAAGATGTTCCTGTAAGGTGCTGGCTGAATTTTATTTCAGCCATAGGGCTTTCATGCTAATCATGATTTTAGAGTTTGGGTACAATAGACCTCTGGTCGATGTGTCATGCTCGTCAGAGCTGCCCAACCTCTAAGTCTAAGTCTATAGCACTTTGATTTGAAATATATGCAATTGTATTGTGTAACTACGTTTGCTGTTTAGTTATTAACTTGCTTTAAATGGAAATCGAAGAAACAGTACTTTTAAAAACATTTTAGCTTAATATTACGCTAAGGCATAATAGCCGACATTGGAGAAATAAAATAACGGAGATAGGAGACAGGTTTAAAAAATAATACAAAATCAATGCAATCATCTCTATCATCAATATTAATTGTTTCAAAATAGAGTTTTAGTAAATGAGTAGCATAAATAAACCTAGTTTAGGCTTGTAATTAGTGATATGATCGCTTTTTCCACAAACCTAAAACGTACAAATCCATCAAAAAATCAGATCCATCATAATGATCTTTATTTATTATTTAACAGTCTAATTCTTTTATATAAAATTCCCTTAAAATCTAAAGGAATACCATTTTTTGATGTGTCGCTTTTAAATATTTTTATGCATTTACAGAAATCTGGTTTTCTAAGTCCGTGCAAGTTTTTAAAAGTTATTTGATAATCAAATAAAATAGGTTAGAACACATTCCAATGAAACATCTCAAAGCTTTGTGCGTTAATTTTCAAATTAATCGTAATGGAAGAAGGATATTTCAAACGAAAAGGAACTTATTCATTAAAAATTACAATATTAACATAACCATTTTAGCAAATTATCCCATGCGGCAATTTTAAAATCCATCCAGCTTCAGATTGATTTGTACTATATTTTCCCGGGAGTAAAAGCGGCCTGTGCTCAATGCATTGACACAATGATGCCATCTGTCACCTCTCTAAGCCCACTATAGACTGTTACAAAAATGGTTTATTTAATTTTTTTTTTCATACTGTCAAATTTAACACAGAAACTTATACTTCAAGCAAATTAGAATATAAATTTAATGCTCTAAACAAGCTGGAAGTTGTTTAACGGTATAAAACAGTAATAAGTTAAAACAATACTTAAGACTTTTAACAGTTACAGAATATTAATAGTTCCATCAAAAATTATTGCACAATGCTAATAAAAAAAATGGTAATTAAAAAAAATTATAATATGCATAAATTAAACTAAATCAGAGCTGGGGTTTTGAATGTCCTAAATTGGTTTCGGACAGGACACATAGGTTTCACTGTCTTAAACTGACTAAAAACGTTCTAGACTGTCTTATAATGTTCAAAACCTTGAACATAGGTAAAAGGTAAAAATTCTATATGTGTAACCACACACACACATTGCACACAAAATAATTACATATATTAATACATACTTGATACTTTTTATACCATTTACTTTAACTTATTAAAGGAAAATAACATAATATAATAGGAAAAGATTAATAACTTTTGAAGCTCTACAATTCATTGAACAACAAAAGTGAATACCTTTAAAAATGAATAAATATGTTTTCAATACTGGTTAATTATTTTTTTGCATAAGGATAAATAATGCAATATTAAAAATAATATTTAACTTTTTTAATAAAACAAAAACTTGTTTTCTTTTTGCTTCTAGTTCAAAAACTAACCTTTAATTTTTCAAAATTTATTATTATTATTTTTTTTTTAATTGTGACATGATTTAGAAATAAGGGTTTTGGACAGTTTAAGACAGTTTTGAACAGGATGGTATAAACGGTGAATTAATCCACTCTCTCCTAAACCTTGAGAACTCTGAACTAAATAAATAAATAATAAACTAAATATTAAAATTAAACTAAACTATAACTCCTTAAGTAATAATTGAAATAGCTTTTTAAAAATATCTTTAAATATTTTTAACATACCTAGGGCCCTATAAATTATGCGGAAATTTTTTAAAAATTATGCGGCTAGGATGCGGCGATTTTTAAAAATTATGCGGCAAGGATGCGGTGTCTTTTAAAAATTATGCATATCGGTTGCGAANATATTAAAAATAATATTTAACTTTCTTAATAAAACAAAAACTTGTTTTCTTTTTGCTTCTAGTTCAAAAATTAACCTTTGATTTTTCAAAATTTATTATTATATTTTTTTAATTGTGACATAATTTTAAAAAAAGGGTTTTGGACAGTTTAAGACAGTTTTGAACAGGATGGTATAAATGGTGAATTAATCTACTCTCTCCTAAACCTTGAAAACTCTGAACTAAATAAATAAATAATAAACTAAATATTAAAATTAAACTAAACTATTGTGGAAATCCTTAAGTAATAATTGAAATAGTTTTTTAAAAAAATCTTTAAATATTTTTAACATATCGCATAAGAAATCGAATTTTAAAGAAGTCATATATTTAAAATTCAATTTCTCACGAACTATTTAGTCAAATTTTGTATTTTAAAATGGAAAAAAATTTTATGCCTTACAATTCAAATTGTTTTCAACTATTATTTAAGAAATAATAAATACTTACTGGAATTTATTTTTACGTGGAATTATCTTTGGAATAAGCGAATTTTATAATTGTACACATGCAAAAATGTTCCCATTTGCTAAAAATTTTTTTGAGATATGGCGAAATATGCAAAATGTTAAATCTAACAATAAGGGGTGCTGCAAGCATTGCATCGCTCTCCTGACAAAACTATTTCCTATATTGCCAGGACCATATATCCCAGATTGCGGTTATCCTGATATTTTGGGGGAACTATTAAGATCGAGTCCAAAAACAGGAAGATCCTATCATTAGATCAAAAGTTGTTCAGCATGGTACTTTCTTTTGGTGCACTATACATCTGTAAAACACGACAGTACGTGTAACAAGGGTAACCATGAAATTGCCCTTATTATTTTTTATTCCACTGACTTATTCTTATTATTTTATTGTTTCATTGAATTGAGAAAAAAAATTGGTTATCATCTGTATTTTTCTTTCCCTGTAAGATGTTTTTTTTCATTTAGGTTACTATAGGGGTGCACAACCATCTTGAGTGAAGGGCCACTTGCACAGCAAGTAGATAAATGAAGGGCTGCATGCATATTTAGTCATGTTAGCGGCAAATATGATAATTTTTATATAAACATTAGTGTTCTAAGCATGTTTATGAATTTCATGGATGTTGTTTAGCCCTGCTAATTTTGGGGATTAGGAAGAAGAAGCACTAAATAGTTTTACCAGTTAACTTAATAACATATTTGCAGAAAATTAAATACTTTTAATTATTTGAATTTATTTAAAACTAAAAAAACTGATACTATTTTTAAAAAAACTTTTTATATTTTTTACAATAATTAATTTATCAAACATATATATAAATACAAATATTGGGAGGGATATAAATTCTAACCAAAAAGAAGCTTACAGAATGAAAGGGCCGAAAAATATACACATTTTAGAGTAACATAAATTTGAATGAAATATTTTAATTTAAGAAAATTTATAATGCTTAAACAAAAACCAAACTAAAAGAATTTTTTTTATTGCATTCAGAAGCTCCTGCCCCACGGGCCACACATCAATAGTCTGTGGTCCACAGGTTGTGCACCCCTAAGTTACTATAACCTAATAATCATCTTCGAATAATTAATGCTTCAATATTTTTAAATAATATTTAAATTATAATAATATTTCTTGTCAAGAATATCTTTTAAAAAATGTTAGGACAAGCAAAATTTCCATTCAAGCATATATCGTGTAAACTAAAAAAAAAATTACAGTGATCTTTCTCTGTCTGTTAATACACGTTTGAAAATTAACATTAAACAGAATTTAAATTTTAAACATGCTAAAACAAAAAAAACAATCTGGTATTAGATAAATTTAACATAGATCAGAAAATAAAGCAAATAAATAGAGAAGCAGTTACCTTGGATTCACAAAATTATTGACAACACCAAATTCCAAGAGGCAGAAGAGTAGTCTGCACTTTTGATTATTTTTAATTAAGCTGATGAGTTTCACATAATGGCTGAGTGCAGGAGATACTTCTTCCTAAAAATAAGATAGATCTTTATAATACACTAGAGATGAATCATTAATATTATCATAATAAAGTATTAATATTGACATAATGAATTATTAATATTGTCATAATAAATGATTTTAAAAAAAATGGAAATGATAATAAATGATTTATATCGTCATATTTTCCAAATCTCTAAATGAATTCTATTAGTACTTATAAATAAATGATTTTAAAAAAAGGAAATGATAATTCAGTTATATTCTCATTTTTTCAAAATCTCTAAATGAATTCTATTAGTACTTATACGTTATACCATTTCTTTCTCTAGAAAATATAGAGTTCTGCACACGTCTCTAGTGGCTTTCTATTGAAGTTTTCTAGTACCTTTGGCTCAAGTGAATGACTGAAAATTTCAAATTAAAGGCATAAAAATAATTCACTTTCAGTTCACTTAAAATTATTCTCACCAACATCTTTTAAAAACAAAATCTTATTATTAGTACGGTCGTTGAAAGCTTCAGGATGGGGGAAAATAAAATTACATTTGGAGAAGACGGCACAGAAATTTATACAGGTTGTGTAGTCAAATCTTTCAATAAAAAATAAGCACCTTTTAAGAACTCAAAAATATTTTTAAGAACCATATACTTTAACAAACTACAAACTAATTTTCAAAGACTTTACATGATTATGATAAAATAACTAGTATCTGACAAAGAACTCTTTTCTTGATTATATTGGCCGTTATAAAATGATTGAGATATTTCTCGATTCGATATCAGAGGGTGGAAAATGAACCCTGAAATGGAGAATATCTGGTAAAATGCAGCAGAGTTGCACACGTGAGTGCAATAATCTCACTGAACTCAGCTCAGTAGACGCACATCCTGTTTTATTAATATATTACTGCCATTGAACAGCCGACTCAATTTAGGGTTTATGGCTACTAATGTTCAACTCTATAGCCTCGTAATTTTGAACCCAATCCAGAACACAAAGGAACTCTTCGATAAAGTAGTGGGAGAAATTTGCCTTCCTAGGAGACTTTTTAGTGGAATTAACCAGCAGAGTTGCATGGTGAGGAAAACCACGAAAGCCTTAGACAGTTAGCATGACGGCAGGGGAACTCTAAACCGTCTACCGTTGATGATATTTCACGTCAGCACGGCGGTCAGTGCAAGCTGGATGCAAAAGTTGTATCGACCAGTCATCGCTGGGATTTGAACCTGGGTTCACCTATCCCCTGCGAATGCTCTATCCCCTAAGCCAGGGATGGCGAACCAACGGCACGCGTGCCACTTATGGCACGCGACACAATATTTTGGGCACTCCACCGATCAAAATTGTTGTTACACTATGAATTCTTATTACACAAATGTTATTACGCTATGAAGCATATGTAACAATTTAATTAAAATTCACGAGAAACAAACAAAATAATAAGCAATTATTAATTAAAAAATAAAAAATTAATACTAAAGAAACAATTAATAACCGTGAAAAACAAGCTAACAATAATAACTAGCAAAAAAAATCAACAGTCCTGCTCTTACAACCTAATATAAGTTATTGGTCATCTAATCTGCAACAACAGAAGTCACACTGATGTTACTTTAAGTTGAATTATGTGTATAACTGAGACATTGCAAAATGTTTTTTTTTTCTCAATGTAAATAAAGAGCTTTCAGTTGATAGTATTTAGTATTATTATTTTCCCTATAATCACGAAGTCAAAATTCTTTGACAGCACGTCTATGACCTCATTAAGCAATTTTTTAGAGAAAATGGCACGTTGGTGTACAAAGGTTCGCCACCCCTGCCCTAAGCCATCACGGTTTAACTTAAACAATTAACACTCAACATATTGCAGTACTGGCTATAGCACCATATGTTGAGGAATAAGAGAAGTACTTTTACAATCACTGGATATTTTATCACCAATTTTTTTTTTTTAAAATTTCTTCAACAAATACACAGAAATTTAAGAATATACAGGAAAATACAGGAGTCTATGTTAAAAAACAGGAGACTTGGCACATATGCATCCTTGATTCTATGAAAATGTCCTTGCATATGCATCCTTGATTCATAAAAAGCAAGAAAAAAAAATCATTTGGCTGAAAATAATTGAGGTATTTTTGTTAAAAAAAAGAAAATGAAATTTTAATTTTTTTTAAAACTTAATTTACAAAACAAATTAGAAATGAATATGAATTGGAATTCAGCCCAGTGATCTTTTCTGAATCTAACCCACTGAGAGGCACCTATGAGACAAGGCTAGATTAGAACTTGAGGCTGTTTAAAATACAGAAGAAACATCTTTAAGACGTGGAATTGATGCAAATTAATTTTTAACGAAAACTATATTCATGTAGTTCAAAACGGAATCAAATTTTGACCAGTATAGAAACTTATGAATAATCTAAAATAAGTTCTAAACAATGTATTAAATAAGCACTGATTTTTTTTAAATTTATGTACTTGTAACATGATAAAATGACAATTAAACTATGCACAATAAGTATATAAGCACTGATTTTTTAAATTTGTGTACTTGTAACATGATAAAATTATAATTACAGTAAGTACAATAAGATAAAAAAATACTATTAAGTTTATCACAATCCTTTTATTAAATTTTTATAACCGTCATTGAACAATCGACCCAATTTTAAGTTTAGGACTACTAATGTTCAACTCTGTAGCTTTGTCATTTTGAACCAATCCAGAAGACAAGGAAACTCCTGGATCAGTACCCCCAGAGGTATTAATTTGTTGCGGGAACATGGAGAACTTTGTGACTCAACAGATTCAACATGTACCAGTCACCTTTTACTAGACAGAGAGTCTTCGGTCACCTGGGATAGAATCCACAAACTCTTGGACATGGGCCTTGTGCCCTACCAACCAGGCTATCCCGGCCTTATCACGATCATTGAAAAAATTCATATACAAAAATTAATTTTTTATATACTAAACTAAACTTAGTGGTACGACAGCCAATAGAAGGGCAAAGCCTACTGTGCCTTTCTCAGTTTTCTTGATCTTTGGGCTCTGGCACGCAAGAGCACATGTTCTGGTTGGGTGGTCAGCCCAACCAGTGTTTAGTTCCCAAGCATACTTGGTACTCATTTTATCCACCCACTGAAGGAATGAAAGGTTGAGTCAACCTTGCCAAAGACCTGTGGCATAACATTTTTACATACTACTATAGTGTTACTCATGATTTGTTAATTTGAAAAATTGTTTAGAATAGGAAAAGGTTCCAGCCGAATTTTATTCTATTTTCCAAAATATTTTATAGAAGCAAATAAAAATAAAAAAGAGAACCTCGGCTAGAGAGCTGAAGAGTTCCCTCATACTCTCTTGGTACTTAGTGAGTATTTTAGCTTGATCTTCAGCAGTGTGAATGATGTATCCATGGAATGCAACAGCTAATTCTCCTTCATGCTATAAACAAACAAATGTATTAATCAACATATAGTCAGCAATCCATTGCAACTGTTATTTATTACAGATAACTACTGATAAGTAATCAATTACTTGGAATCACAATTACAAGTAATCATAACTCTTGATTACATAGGGCAAAAATGTAATTAATGATATCTTTCAATAACAGTAATCAATTACTTGTAATCATGATTACAAATTTTGATGACATATTCATTCATTTTTGTTGTGTTTACTTGGTAAATACTATCTTAATCATTTTTGTTGTGATTACTTGGAATCACGATTTAAGTTGTAATTAAAATTTTAGTGAATTGTAATCAAAATTACAAGTAATTGATTTCTGTGATCAATCATTGTAATCATGATTTCAGTTGTTATCAAAATTGTAAAAAAAATTTAATCTCGATTACAAGTACAGTGAAACCTCCGTTAAGTGGACATTCATGGGATTAAAAAATTTGTCCGTTTACGGGAAGGGTACCCTAATAACGAAATTTAACACCGTAAATTGTTTTTAGAATAGTATTCTCAAAGATGTAGAAATAATTAAATAATATCTACAAGGATACTGTAAAGAAATACAAGAATATTTATTTAAACAATAAGAAAGATAAAAAAGAAGTTTGATATAAATACATAATTCTGGATGTAGCTACAGATAAATAAATATAATTTTCCTATTAGCATAGATACTCAAGTTAGACATATGATACAAAATAGGAGCGTACTGTCCTCAGTCCGTTTCAATTATTAGGTTCACATCCCCTTACACCTACTTATCATTTGATAGGGAACATGGTTAATACCTTCTTGGAAAATAAACCTCCCATGATTCACAGAAAAAAAAGTAATGCATACCTGTAAGTCATGAGGACCTATGGAGATGATTATTCACAATTGATCAGCTATCAAGTGTCTGAATAAATGTTTCATTTATATAAACACCTCAAAGATTATACTTCTGTTCTCTTTTTTTTACCCCAGTTGTGTTAAATACAGTCTTCAAATTGATAAGAAAATTAAAGAAATTTTCAATGGGGAAGAAGCATTGAGAGAAGTCATTTCAACTTGAGGGGTCTCATAACCTGTGTGGTCCAGATGAAAAGATCAAAAGATGCCGATGTCAGAATTATTTCAGGAGTGCAGTACCATTTTCTCTCCTTTCTTTACAAAGATAAGGCAAGGTGACAGGAGAAAGATTGATTTTTCGGTGGTGAAATAGCTTAACAATATTTTTAGTTATGGATAAGGCAAAAAGTTTTATTTACATGCTTTAAAAATGGTGAAAAGTTGCATTTTTTTAGCTTGCAATTTATTTAGAAAAAGTAGTGTCCGGTTTGTAGAGATAAAAAACAACGTTTCAGGACCAAAATGACTGTCCGCGTCCGGTTACGGGAGTGTCCGCTTTGCGGAGAATGTACGTAATGGTTTATTCATAGAAGATTCCCGGGGAATTAAAAATATGTCCGTATTGAGAGGCGTTCGTTTTGCAGGAGTGTCCATAACAGGAGGTTTCACTGTAATTGATTGTTGTAATAATGATTAGAGCTGTAATCAAAATTATACTATTTTGTAATCAAGATTACGAGTAGATGATTACTATAATCGAAAAATGTAATTGATTACATTTTGCCCAACTCTGCATATAGTAACAGTATAGCTCAAATTCTTAATTCATAGTGGTTAGTGAGATGTAGTTTTCTTGTAGAATTAAAGTATTATGGCTCTTTCAGATACATCTTAATTTGGATATGATGAATTTTTTTTATCAGTTTTTAAAACTAAAATGAAAATGCTTGCTGCAATCAAAGTAAATGTCTATAAAAATATTAAACAAATTACATTAATGTAAAAGGAGGAAAAACACTTTTAACAAATACCCACTGACCCTATAAATTTTAATTCATTAAAAAACTTTGTTTTATTTGACATGTTTTAAAAATGAATTTCTAATTTTATATATATAAGATATTAAATTAAATGTAACTTTTTATTACAAAAAGTTAATATTGACCATTTTTCTAAATAATTAATTCGTTTTTTTTTTTGTTTTTTTTTACTTTAGAAAATAAACAACAAAACCAAAAGGTAAAATGAGAAGGTAATCAGGTGTTCAAATACAGAAGAGAAGGAAACAAAAAAACCTTAGCATGCTAGACAGAAATTTAAACGAAACCCTTTACGGGAAAGAAAGTAAGGAGGGGGGAAAAAGAGAGCATAAGCAGCAAAGAAAAAAAAAGCCTTTAGATAAATTAAAAGTGTTCAAGGAATGAATGAAAAATAAGAAAAGTTAGGAAAGAAGAAGCAAGGAAATGAAAACACAGAAATCATTTACAAGAAGCTAAAGAATTAATCATAGATACAACTCCATACTCATCTTATCAATTAAATAAGTTTTTAAAAAAATAGTAATTCTAACATTTTTAGAGGAAAAAGAACGTTAATAAGAAACTGTTATACATTAAAAAAGAAGATAGGGGAATTAGGAGAGAAAAACAAAAAAATTGAATGCTAGACTTGAAAGGCATAAAAAAAAAAAAAAGTTTTAAGCAGATTAGTGAAGAGAAGAATAAATTGCCAAGAAGGAAATTTAGCATAGACAGGGTGCATAGCCAAATTATTCAACAAAAAATAACAGGGTTGCCACTCAAATCTGGAAAAAAATTCCCTGTGTTTTCCCTGTACACGTTATATGCAACATATGTTATATTAAGAGGAAACAATGCATATGTTATATTAAGAGGAAACAACAATTACTGTGCTCTTGTGTGAGCTATATTGGGTTAACTATATTTATTAGTTTCCATTGCTGGGAAAACAGCTGAACATACTTAAATAATGCTATAGTAAATGAAATAGTTTAGTACAGCTGAAATATCATGGTTAAATATCAAATAAATTTCGCTTACGCTTTGAGCGGTCACCATTTTCTAAAAGACAAAAATAAAAAAACAAAATTTCCTATATTTTCCCAGTTTGTAAAGAAAAAATCAAAATTCCCTGTTATTTTAGGTGATTTTTAAATTACCTGTATTTTCCAGGTTTTCCCTGTGGAGTGGCAACCCTGAATAAGCACATTTTTAGTACTCTAATAATATTTTTAAGAACTTTAAAAGAATATTATAATTAGGCAGGGTTAGAAATTTTTGACAATTGACGGTTTTATCTGGTTTTAACAGTCATGTCAAAAAAATTAATTCTTTTGGCATTGTTTTTGACAATTGTCCAATCATGAATCATGTAAATCGAATGGTGTTTTCATAAGCTACGATCTGACCATGCGCCGAAATAGATTGGGGTTGAATTAATTGTGAAAAAGTCGAATAGAACAATGTGAAGTGTCTTTCTGCATAATTCGTAGCGAAAATCAACATGGTAAAGAAAAATCTCAATTTGGAAAAGGGAAAATTAAGCACTTTTTAAAAACACCCAATGAAAAAAGCACCTTTAAGTGCTTTTAAGAAATGAAAATAAGCACCTTTAAAAAACGCTACGCACCCTGATAGAATTGGATAGTGAAGATAGAAAAAATAAATCTAACGTGTTTAGAAAACTGCTGTTTGCTGAAGCTATAAGCAGCCAAATACAAACTAACTTCTAACTTTCAAGGCCAAAAATCTTGACAAGTGCAAAATCAAGTGAGAAAGACAATGTTAGAAGTTCCGAATGGTAAGTTTATGCATAAGTATCTCTTATTCAATCAGTAAAAAAATAACTTCAAGCAAAATGCTTAGCAATTACCACAATTTAACTTTTAAATCTGTATCTGAAAGAGACATAAAAGAAAAGAAAAAGCAGTGAAATGCACTGTACTTTTTAGAAATTGACAGAGCAAGTCGTTTGTCCTAGAAAGAAAAGAAAAAAAAAGGCAAGGGGAAAAAAACTTATTAACAATGACACTATCTATAATTTGCATAAAATGTTTATAAAATAGTACTCCCAATATCAAACTCAATAGCTTATCTTTTATATTTTGAGAACGAGAGATAATACATAGTAAATGAAAATTAATTTAAACACAGAAATAACCTAACAGAGCAATAATTATTTAAATAATAAAACAAAACATTTACAAGAACTTCTTCGAAGAATCGATTCACTTTTTCTTCAGCAGACGCAACGGGATTCTCCATTTTAGCAACTAAAGAGACACACTGTTAGAAGATGATGTTTATTTCTTTTTCAATCAAAGAAAAAAAATTCATAATTAAAGTAAAGGGTGGGGATATAAAATATTCATCATTCTTTGTAGAAACTAAATTTGGTTAAAACATACGCTACAGAAAAGGAAGCCGATTGTTTGGAAGGAAAGGTGAAATGTAGAATAGTGTGACGAGCTCTTCGTATAAGCTTATAGCTTTCTTTGTGATCGCAACGCTCAAATACGCTATCTGTGGAGAGAAGACCGGTTCCATTTTTCGACGCTTTCCTTTCCTCCTATTTTTCCTTTTCTCAATATTTTTCGTATTTAATTGTCAAAAATATCTTTCAAAATTTCGACAAAGCTTTCTTTTAGAACTATGTTCAATGTAGTTTTCAGTTCAACATAGTTTCCTAATTTAAAAGTTTTTTTTATCTATTTGGAAATCAAGACAGAAACTAACGTACTTTCTTTTCCTATGACTCTCCACACACTAATGATAAACGCATGCGAAGTGTTGCCTTAGGTAGAGAATTTTATTCTACGCCACCTGTAGCCCATTTTCTTAGCCTACAAATAAATAAATATATATATATATATATTTAAATAAAAGTGTGTACTCTAAAAACATTCCATCTTTTTCTCTCTGCCAGAAAAAAATCTAAAATTCGCAAATTTTAAAGACATTAAACGCATTTTTTTAAGATTTATAATTTGTGATTTTTTAAACAAAGCTAAAATATTTTTAGGCGTTCGATCTAGAACACCTAAAAATATATTAGCGGTATAAAAATATGTTGTGCGGGTGGGTGACCACTTGAATCAGTCTGCGTAGGGACCGAGGGTGTGCGGTATTGGTCCTCGTTAAACTTTTCTACCGTAAAGTGCTCGACTTCGCGTGCAGGTCGTCGGGCTACCAAAGCGGGGGTGCCACCCCCTCTGCAAAGGATCAAAATTGTGATGGTACGTCTTCGGATCATCCTCAGGGATGTTTGCCAGACCGTCGCCAATAGCCCATTGTGCAGCTCTAGTGCGACGTAAATGATCAACAAACAAACCTTTACTTGTACCTCAAAATTTGATTTGTTTGAATCTTTACTTAATATTTTACATAAAATAGGTTACTGCAATAGATTTTATAAATACGATTTTACTCCGATACTTAGATAGGGAGTTTCTTTGATTTTTGGGTTGTATGAATTTTTTTTTTCGAATGGCAGGCACTTATTTGTTTCGCCTTAGAAGATGCCTGAGGTGTTACTCATTTCGCGTTACTCAGTGGGCACCTGTGAACCAAAGTCACAGAGGCGAGTAACATTGCCCACGCCACACTGCCACAAACCCGTTCAAAGAGTGGGCCACATTCATTCATCGCTCACAACAGAGGGCAACACAAGAGAGAGAAACATCCATGCCCAGACCTGGATTCGAACCCGCGGCCATTGACTTCGCAGTCAGGCGCGCTAACCGCTCGGCCACCTGGCGGGCGTATTAAAAATTAGAAATATATGAAGATTATTTCACAACATTTACTAAGATAGTAGGCTGTCTGTAAATATTATTGATTACAAAAAATAATTCCACTGCAATAATGAGCAGTTAGCTAGAATCCTATTACTCTTCAGCAATTAAAAATACTTTTTGGTTGTTTTCCTTAACGGGCAACGCAAAATCTGATTATTTTATTTTCAATTTAATCTTAATTAAAATTGGTAATTTTTGCAACATTCATAAATATGATTTTACTCAGATGTTTAAATTGCGAGTTACTTTGATTTCTGAGTTAAGTTAAGAATACGAAGAGCGTTTCACTATATTCAGAAAGATGATAGGCTATCCATCTTTAATTTTATTTCATGACCGTTGTTTCAACCTAAATTTGAATTTACGACTACCAATTTCCAACTCCGTAGCTTTGTAATTTAGAACCCAATCCAAAAGACAAGGGAACTTCTGGATCAGTACCCCCAGAGGTTTTGAATTGTTATGGGAACTTGGAGGACTTAATGACCTCACCAGATTTAACATGCACTTAATTAAAATAAGTTATTCTTATAACTTTCATAAATATGATTGAACTCTGATACTTAAATAGATTAATAAAAGAAAAGTCAATTATTGACTTTTCTTTTATTAACTTTTCTTCTATTAATTTGCACTTCAAAATTCTTTGTTTCGATTTTGTAAAAGCTAAAATGAGTAAAATTTCCTTGAATAAAACGAAAAATTTAAGTAATTTTTATTTCGTTATATTATTAACTTTCAAATCCCTATTTTCGGTATATCAAATTTCATAATATTTTTGAAAATTTTAAAAATTTATTTCCATTAAAAGATTTTAACATAATTAAAAGCTTTAAATATATTAAATCTCTTGGTACAACTATATTTAATTATAATTGTATAAGCAAAAATTTAGGAAGGATTAATGTATCCGATTATAAATGTCACTGTGAAGAAGAGAAATATTTTGATTTTGTTGATAAACATTAAAAACATATTGCTACTGGTAATTTAAATATTATAGAAAACTTAGAACTTACGATTTTAATGATAAAAGGCACAAAATTTATATCCATTTACCATGTATCAATTAATAAAATTCTAAAATACTTTCTTAATGATCTCAATACTTATTGCTTAAAGATATCAAATAGATTTTCTTTACCTTTAGGTATGCTAACAGAATGGAAATGGGGTGTTTATTAATACTTTAAAAACTTTGTTTTCAGTAATAAGGATAATTTAAATAACAGTAGCATTTCAACAAATTTTTCTAAAATCGTTCAATCAATTAAGCAACTAGAAAAAAAATTTGTAATCACCCCCCTAGACAAAGCTAACAATAATTTTGCAATCTTCTGTAAAAAATTCTATGTTAAACTTTTAAATATGGAGTTTTAAAAAATAGTAAAAATTTTAAACTTAGTAATTTAAATAATAATATTGTCATGAAAAAAATTTTTAGCTTTATATAAGAGGTTAAAAATTACAATTAGCGATATACAATTTCCTTACTTAATTATCAGTCCTAAAAATTTCCTATAAAATTTAGAGCAATAACAAGCCTAACTAAATCTGGCACCATTTTCTCTAACTACTTTAATAAAATTATTAATAATATTTATTGATGAAGGTTTTTCTTGGATATTCATTAATAATTAACCGATTTTAGAATTAAATAAACATGATAAAATTGATTCTATTTCGATTTTTGATTTCCAAAATCTTTCCAATAGCATTCCCCTTTCTAAACTAGAAGATATCCTTTTGAATTATTACTATGTTTTTAAAAATATCCTTGAATGCGATTTTGATTATTGGAAAATTCTAATTAATTTATGCCTTCTTAATAATTATCTTTTCAATGGAAAAGATATTTTTCTTCAAATTGATAAAATGCCACAAGGATCAAATTTTTCATCTCTCTTAGCTAACTTAATTTTGCACTATTATGAAAAAAATTATACTCTCAATATTAAATTTGTTTTAGAATTATTGATGATTTAATTATCTTTAATTTTCAAGATCATACAATTTTATTAAGTAATATTTACCCCGAGGAATTAATCTTACTTCGTAATCATGATGATAATATTAATTTTAATTTTTGGATTTGGGTAATATAAAAGAAGAAAATATATGCTTTGTTGATTTGTGCGATAAAAGAAATTATTTTAATTTTAATATAAATAAACTAATTACTTCGAATTCTAATGTTTCTAAAAACATCTATTTAAATACCATTTTCAATCAAATGTAAAAGAATATGTTGTAATGTTTATTTATCAAAAAAACAAATACACAAACTCTTTCAAATTTGATAAAAAAAAAAAGCAATGGATACCCAACAAAAGTAATTAAATTCTATATAAAATCATTAGTTAATTGTATATTATTGTAAATAAATTTACTAAAATCTTCCTTGTTAGCTTATATAATTTTTACCATTTGCAAATCCATTTCGGGCAAATCTGTGACTGAAATTATGTGTATCATGTTTTTCTGTCTCTCCCCTCTTTCTCTCTCCTTTTTTTCCTTAAATAAAAGTTAATTTTCTAAACACATTAAAATTGTGTATTGAAATATCAACTTTATTAATTGTAAACTTCTTCAAATTAACCTGTATAATATTACCTTGCACACATCCATTTTCTCTCCCATCCTTGGTAACTAACTAATCAAAAGCGCTTCATTACTACTGTAAGAACGCGCTTTAAATAAATCCCTTCACTTACGCTTTTACCTCAATTTGCGCTTCTGTTTTCATATTTTGTAATCCGGCAATTTTATTACGAAAATATTTTAAATCATTCTTGAAAATTTTTCGGTTCATGTAAGCTCATTTAAATTCGCTACTCGCTTTATGGATTTCGTTTTATGTTTTCTTCTGTTTTTCTCTGCATTTTATTTTCGGTTTTTTACGTGATATTTATTACTTAATGTGTTTTATTTTATTTTGTTTAAAAAAAAATTTTTTTGAATGCTCTTCACACTATGGTATTGATATATTTTGCTCTGGCTATATCGTGTGAGCTAACGATATATATANAATTCCTATCGCTGCACAAAGTAGCCCCATTTGGGGGCTACTTTGTGCAAGGTATGTTTTGACTTATTATTCGTAAATATTACATACAAATAATGCCAATATTGATCAAATTCACTCGTCTGAGTCCAGTTATGAATATAATATCGATAAATTCTATTAAAGTTTGAATTAACATAGTTTTTTTACATGTCAAAGTTTAAAAAAATGCGAATATATGTATAATATTCAATTTATATAGCTTTGAGTTTCTTACAAAAACCCTGTTTTTTTACTTTGTTGAATATGTCAAATTTTGTGGTATGCGGGAGGTTTTATGTTTCTGCTTTAATTGGAAGAAAAGTGCTGCTGAAGCACATCGAATGCTTGTAAAAGTTTATGGCGACAATGCGCCAACTGATAAATCATGCAGGAAATGGTTTCGACGTTTCAAGAATGGTGAATGGTGTTGTATAGTATGAGCTGCTATAACCTGGCGATTCAATTACGGGCGATCGGTATAGGTTACAATTGATCCGTTTGAGCCGTGCATTACGAAGAAAAAAAAATGGCTGGAATACGAACAAAGACATGACAAAGTTATTCTTCTGCATGATAACGCTCGGCCTCATGTCGCAAAAAATCATTCGGAAACGCTCAAGTG